GAGGAGCAGCAGCTGTCGAGGATGGCGATGTGACAACTGAGCACCTGCGTGTCTAAGGGGCAGATCCAGATCCAGCTTGACTGGCCGTGGGAAAAACATCCCAGGTGGAAAATAGCAGCCACCTGCCACCTCTGGGCACTTCCGAAAGTCACCTGCCCCTCCAGCCCTTCTGCTGATGACCCCGTGACACTCCATCACCTCCCGGGGTCTGCAGGGCTGCAGTGCCACAAGTTCATCAGGCTGCAAAATTATCTCTTCAGAGCAAATGCATCAGGCTGCAAAATTATCTCGTCCTACCAGTTCTTCTCTCTTTCTCCGCAGCGACTCATCTGCTTCCCAGCACCAAAGTGCAAATAAAAAGTCCCAAAGGAGGCCAGTGAAGTAGCCCACACCCAAACTTAGAGCTTAAACCTGCTTCTTGTCTTGTCCGGTTTCTTTTAAAAAAAACCCCAAACTCAACAACCGCTGGCATTTCTCCCGATCTCTCGTGGCCCTGGGCCACTAAAAGTCACAGTGGAAAACACACAAAGTAGAGAGCACCGGCACGGCGCCCCTGTCCCAGCCGGCCAGAGTGAGGCAGCTCAGCTGGGAGGTACCTCAGGAAAAATAGAAAGGTCAGGAATCCCAGCGGGTCGTTGTTCGTTTGTTACCGTCCATCCTCTTGGCACGCCGCCCCTGCGGGGGGATTCCCCAAGGCACTGCAGTCGTGTAGTGCAGAAGAAAGAGGCAGGAGATGGCTGGAATGGGGGTGGCAGAACAGGGAGGTCCCTCCGGAAGATCACTGCGCGTGGAAGTAGATGGGCTTGACCTTTCCAGACAGGATCTTGGGAACCTGCACGGAGATGATCTCGGCCATCATTTCGGGGTAGTCCACGCTCACCATGTGCGCCTTAATTAAAAGGTCAAATGTAAACTGATGCAAATCCTTGGCAATCTGGAAAGGAAGGAAGTTTGTTAAACGAGAAGTCCCTGCTCCGCGATTTCTCCAAGTCAGCAGGCGCAGCAGGACAGGGCGAGGCCTCGCTGCAGCGAGGGAGCCCGGGAGCCCGTTTGGCCTTGGTCCTTCGCACTCGGACATCGCCGAGCCCAGGAAGCCAGGGACGTACGAACACGGCTCTTCCTTACCCACACAGAGCCTTGCCTCGCTGCCTGCAGATGCTGCTGGCTGCACTTACTGACAGTTACTTTTTGCCTGCAGCCGCGTAACTGTAGGGGCACGGAGCTGAGCCCCAGGAAAGAGGGAAGGTCTAGCTCGCGTTTCACCAGTACGACTTTAAGTCACAAACAGAGAATTTGTTTTCACTGCTGTAATCAGAGAAGATTCATTGGGGGCACTGAGACTTTGAGTCGTTCTGCTAGGCTGACGGTGGAAAAGTATCGTCTACAAAGAGCTTTTCATTGCTAAAAAAGGAAGCCCATAAACCCAAGCACAAGAAAGGTTATTGCAGGGAGTGACAGGCACAAACAAGTTTCACTCCCTCAGTAGACAGAGATTTCACTGCCCTCTCTTACAGGGTGCACGGAGTCCAGGACCTTGGTGAGCTGGTAAAATCGCCGAGAGCAGGAGGTAGGGTTCTTCCTCTTGCATGCGATGATACGGTCGAGTTCCTTAATGTAATTCATCCGAAGTTCATCAAAGAGCTTCTGGTTCTTCAGGCCATCCACTGGAACTGGATGGAACATGGGAAGGAAACAGTAAGAGCTGCTCAGAGAGGGGAGAGAATTAAAGAGCGAGAGGGAGGCTGAAGAGGGGGTTGGGGCTGGCTGGGGGCACCCGAACGAGGCAGAGAGGAGAAGATCCGCAGCAAGCAGCCGTCCCCTGCGAGGCACAAGACCCCACACAGGGCAAGCGCCAGGCACCTCTGGGGTGGAGCGACACACGGCCACGGGAGACCTGTCGAGGAGAGGACGCGAGTACTTACTAATACTGAAGAAGAGTAGAGCCTTCATGCAGAGGAACTCCTGGGGCGTGATCTGAAGCCACCCGAACTCCTGAGAGAGGTGCCGCATCCGGACGCACTGGCTGTACATGCGGGACTTGTGCATGCGGTACCTGGCAGGGCGACACAGGGAAGGGATGGCACGGAGACCCAACGCGGGGGGGGGGCACAGAGGGGACACGGACACGCTCTGCCCGACCCAGCAACCCCCTCCTCGCCCGGCACGTCCTCGCTGCCGAGAACTGACTCCTGCCAGCTGGAGAGCAACGCTGCCCAAAACGTTTCCTCTCTGTCTGGAAACAGCTGGCTACCTGGGATGCGCAGGGTTTGTCCGACCCTCTGTCTTCCTGAAAAACAACTCAACGACCCACCGGACGTGGGCACCTGCGAGAGGCACGGAGCTGAGCTGGGAGCTCTTGGAGAGCAGCTGTGCGGTGGCTCGCGGCTGTGCTGAGTTATCGAGCTCTTCGACCTCAGGGTCAACAAACCCTCCCCAACTCTACGCTGATGGAACATCAGAGAGAACCTATCAGGAACCTGCAATAAATGTTTGTTTCTGTTTCTGCTCGCTCCAGCTGACCAAGCAAGCTGAAAACAGGAACCCAAATCCCTCAGAAAAAAGGCAGGTCTGCAGGGACCAGTCCCTACACCACCACCTGCTCCTGCCCTGATGGCAGCCGAACCTGAGGTGAGGTCGAGGGAAAGGGAAGAAGGACCAGGAGAGACTTTGCAGCTCTCCTTATTGATCACCACAGAGCAATTAGAGGGGAAGAGCAGGGCCCCGAAAGCGCTCCTCAAGCTGTGCATTTCCTAAGCCGGCAGGAAAGCAAATTCCTTGTCTCGTTCTCATTCCTCGCCCGGTCTGACCCAGGCGAAGCACAACACCAGATTGTCATTATTTTGCACTTACTCATTGAAGACCAAGTCTGGGGCGAAGTAGAGCATCCTGGAATTGACGTTGGTGAAAGATCTCCAACCCATAGCAAAAACCATGAGGCCCATCCAAGAGTACTGGATTATGGACATCTGGTCATCCACATGTAGGTTGCGAAATCCTATTGGGAAGCACGAGAGGGATGTCAGCGATCACCACGGGGTTCCTGCAGCGACTGTGCCTGCAGACCTGCAGACCCCGGCTCTCCTGCAGCACTCGGGTTGGGACAAGGGGCTTGGAGCCCCGCAAAACAGCCAGAGGGGCGAGAGAGGAGCCCCGGTCACAGGGAGGGGATTAAGGAAAACACCAGCAGATTTAGAGGAGGGCTGTGACAAGCGGTGATGAACAATCTCTTCGCCCCCAGAGTTGCAAAGATCTTCACAAACTGCATTGGAAGGTTTCGCAAGGCCCAGTGAGGTGAACGAGCATCATTCTCGTTAACCAAACATCCCCTTTGGGGCAATTCTGTCACTCACAGAAATAAGAAAAAATAAGTCCCGTGAGGACTCCACCAAATGTAAGTAAATGGATTTTAATGCACAATGCTCAGAGCTGGCAAGTAACCCTGAGGCACCACCGCCCGGTGAACAGACTGCTTCGGTTCCTCTGTCAAATACACAAGGCACTTGTCTAACAACCGCGAAAATGAATACAAAAACCTCTGCTGAATCACAGGTTAAACAGAAATATCAATTAATTTCAAACCAGTACTCCCAGATGGTGTTTCAGTTAAATCCCAGGCGTGCATACAACACACACACAAACATCACCCCCAACACTGCACTTTTTTCCACATACTTGTAAGTAGTCAAATGTAATCTGGTTTCAAGAAAATTAATGCTATTACAATGAAATATTAAAGCAATTCTAACACCTCCAGTGTATAATTATAATCCACTGAGTCAAGCGTCTGTCTCTTGCTTGGGAAGCTGTCAAGTACAAACGAGCACAATGTTTTATCACTGACTAAACTTGCTTTACGTTTGTACATTTTCCTTCCAGCTTGCATGTCACTGGATTTAAAAAACGAAGCTTGTGCCCAGGTGCTGTCCTACCAAACCCCCCAGAAACGTGACCCCACCCGGAGGGCTCTCGGCTGCCAGCTCCTAATCTTTGCTATGAGAAGCGTTCTGGTGCCCTTGCTCATTACCTTGTAATTACCCTCACTAAAATAAATAAGTATTTGTGCCGGCTTTATCAGTGTTTAAGGAAAGATACTCGGACACAACAGTTTTGTTGTTACAGGACCTAAAGTTTGCTTTCTTCTTGTCCACAAAAACAAGTTGTAGAAACACAGTGGCCGACGCTTAGAAAACAAATAGCTGTTTCCAGCTTCTGAGCTGAAATGCCTTGAAAAATTGGTTTTCAGAAACCAGATACCTATAAATTCCTGGAAACCTCCCCATTCCAGGCATCCTAGACAACACTTGGCCAAAATCACTGTAAAAGAAAATAAATGCCAACCTAATGCCACAGTATGTTGTGAAATTTTTAGTACTGTTGTAGTTTGAATAGACCCACACGAAGATACCTTCTACAGAAGGAAAAAACAGTAAAAGTAAAATTACAATTTGCCAGTGACTTGAAAAAGACCAACGCATAACCTTTTTCTTGTGAGTAATCTTAAAGCAGCAGAGCTCGCCTCACCCCCTCTTACAGACTGATCCTCTGACAGCTTCGGGAAGGACCTGGAGACTTTTCATTTGCTGCCAGGTAAAACGTGGTTGAGTGCTGATCTACATGAACTGTAACCCCTTTACCGAATTTATGTGTATGAAGAAGGGAAAATAGGTACTGCCTCCACTTACTAAATTTTATGGATCTAATCAGACTTTTTCAATTCTGTGTTTCAGGAGCTTTCTCAGCAAGCTGTGGTTATTTAATCTTCCCTTTCCATCGAAACTACAGATGGATTCTACCGTCTCTTACGCAGAACCCCCATCGCACAGCGCCCAAAGGGCGACATGTTACATCGTCTCCAGCTGACAGATGCTGATGTCACTGCTGCAGGCCCACAGGATTCGGGACTGCTCCGAGCTGGGGCAGTCCTGTCTCCAGGGTAGCGCTGGCACCTCGCTGGAAGAGGGGCAGCAGCCCCTGCT